GCTGCTTCCTGCGCGGGCCCGCGCGGGCCCCCCCTGCATCGCTGCACAGCTGCAGCAGCCATGGACAGGCTCCGCGGCAGGGACCTCGTCGCGGAGCGCAGCCTCAGGCGCGGCCCGACGCAGCCGTCGATGCCGCCGCCGAAGAGGCTGAGGCTGACGCCAGCGGGCGAAGACAGTTGGGACGAGGAACCCAGTATATACAGATCCTTCTCTCCCCGTCTCCTTCCTCGGTTTTTCTAGAGGACGATGAGGCGTGGAGGAGGGCCGAGAGAACCGACATGTCTTGTTTTCCTCATCCCAACCTCGACGGCGACACGGCATTCCTCGCCGAGATCGCCGAGCAGGTTGGAGCGCTGGAGTACAACGCCTTTCGGCACACCGCGTTGGCCGTCGTTGTGGACGACGATGATAAGTGCAGCACGTTCCTCCAGAATTGCGAGGAGATCACGCTGCGCATGGTCGAGATGTCGGCTGGCATGTATTTCAACACAGGTGTTCAGCTCTCGGGAGGGTGGATATGGAAGTCGATCGACAAGATCGTCGACGAAGGGGAGGAGACCACCTTCTATATCTTCCGTGCCGCGGACGGATGGTACGCTGCGGACACGCTGTGGATTACCGTGCAGGGTCGGAAGGAGGTTGCCACCGACGGGAAGATCCTGTTCTGGGCCGCGGCGGAAGGCGACTTCGAGGACGCGCCCATGCAGCCCCTGCACTGCCCGTGGTGGACGACGTCAGAATCGGACGGGGTATCGGTGATGTCGGGCCATCACGCGTTCGAGCAGCTGCTCAACGAGGGCACTGGCTCCAACACGGGCGGCGTGGGCTCGGATAAGGGCAAGGGCGCTGGCTCCGACAAGGGCAAGAGCGCTGGCTCCGACAAGGGCAAGGGCGGCGGCTCCGACCAGGGCGGCACTGGCTCCGACCAGGGCGGCACTGGCTCTGACGCGGGCGGCGCTGGCTCCGACGCGGGCTGGGCGCCGCGTGGCAAGGGTGGCCATGGTGGCGACGCGGGGTGGGCGCCGCGTGGCAAGGGTGAGCCTGGCGGCTGGATGCGGCGTTGCGCGAGCCTCATCATGAACTACGAGGCGCGCAACTGGAACGGCTTCGAGGCCAGGGTCGAAGAGTACAAGAACAGCAGCCGGACGCTGCGCCATCTCCTCGGACTCGAATAGGCCGCCTGTCGGCCTTCATGCGGTTCAGCGAACTCTTGGTCTTGGTTCAGCTGCGTTTTTGTAATTCGCATTTCGGGTGCTTCCGGGGTTGCCCCGAGCTGCGTCATTTGCTGATATTACATTGGCGCGCGGCGCGCGCATGTCGAGATTGCGGGCGTTTCTCGTCGTCGCAACCGTCATCGCACTCCCCCCCCTCCTTGTACTCCTCGCCATCGCAACCGTCATCGCACTCCCTCCCTCCTTCTTCTCCTCTCTGCCACCATCGTTCTCGCTGCTACTATTCACAGGCGCCGCCAACGGCGTCGGCGCATCCATCGTCGCCGTCGCTGCCTCTCGAGTGGCGGGGACCTCGGAGTAGAGAGGCAAGGCTCTTTGGAGGGGCTGGATGCAGGCAGACGGCCCCTCGCCGCCGCGCAAGCGCGCGAAGCGGGGGCCGGAAACGCTGACCCACCTCGCGGAGTGCGACCTCCAGGCGCGTGTCGGGCCCGGGCGCCTCCACGGGAGGTCCCTTTTGGCATGGTGTCGGGGCTTCCGGAAAACTTGGTCCCGGGAGGTTCCGTTTGGCTTGCCTGGTGTCGGGCCCCCGAATACCCTCCCCAGGAAATTCAGTTTGGCAGAGTCGGGCCGCTTGAGGCTTCTCTCGGGAGGTTCCGTTTGGCATGGTGTCGGGCCCATGGGCGCTTCCCAGGGAGGTCCCGTTTGGCATGGGTCGGGAGATCCCGTTTGGTGTGGCGTCTCCTAGGAGATCCCGTCAGACATGGTGTCCGGGTCCGGAAATTTGTTTTGGCACCGGGCACCCGAAAACCTGCCCCCTTGGGGTCTCTCCCGGGAGGTCCCGTTTGGCATGGCGTCGGGACCCCGAAAACTTGCGCCGGAAGGCCCAATTTGGCACGGAGTCGGGCCCCCTGGGACTTCGATATCCCGTTCGGTACGATGTCGGGACCTCCCGGGGATCTCCGTCAGGCGGGCCGCTGCTGGAGCGTCCCGCTGGCGGGCGTGGTTTGCCGCTACTTGCCGCGGGATATCGACTCCTCGGACTCCGAGGTCGGGGATCGACGTTGGATCTGCGCCAGCGCTGCCGCCCGCCCCCATCCCGCTGGGCGCCAGGGAGGGTGCGGAACCTACTCCCCCTGCTGCCGCGGCGGGATCGGGGCGCGAGCAGGGGCACGCATGGAACGTCGATCACTTCTGAGGAAGCGGCGCCGCAGGCGGGAGTGATCGCCCTCGGCATCGCGGACGGGCCGGGGGCCGCGGCGGTGGCCCCTGCCCAAGCGGCCGCCCTCGGCAGCGCGGGCGCGGCTTTGGCCCCTCGCAGCGGTCTCCTCCAGAGGCGGCCGCGCTCTGGCGCTGCCGCCCCCCAGCGGCTCGCCCCGCCCGGTTTGCAGGAGGCTTGGGGTGAGGACCCGGCGGGGCCCGTGCCCGCGCCCGCCGCCGCGCCCGCGCCCGCTCCCGCCGCAGCGGCGCGAGCCCGACGGCGGCCGCGCTCTGGCGCTGCCGCCCCCCAGCGTCTCGCCCCGCCCGGTTTGCAGGAGGCTTGGCGTGAGGACCTGGCGGGGCCCGTGCCCGCGCCCGCCGCCGCGCCCGCGCCCGCTCCCGCCGCAGCGGCGCGAGCCCGACGGCGGCCGCGCTCTGGCGCTGCCGCCCCCCAGCGGCTCGCCCCGCCCGGTTTGCAGGAGGCTTGGGGTGAGGACCCGGCGGGGCCCGTGCCCGCGCGCGCCGCCGCGCCCGCGCCCGCTCCCGCCGCAGCGGCGCGAGCCCGACGGGGCGGGTCTGGCGCTCCCCAGCGGCTCGCCCCGCCGAGAGCGCAGGAGGCTTTCGGTGGGGGCTCGGCGGAACCTGTAACTGCGCCCGCGGCTGCCCCCGCGCCAGCGCCCGCTGCCGCTGCCGCGGCACGGGCCGGCCGGGGCGGGTACCGGGGCGGGCGCCGGGGCTTCCTCGCGGCCGCCCAGGCGCGGGCCGCCGCGGTGCGGGCTCGCCCGGGCGGCGCGTATCGGGCTTGCCCGATTTGCGGCTACGCCCGGTGGGTCCCGCTCCGGGGTATACGGCAGCTGAGGTGCCTGTTGGGCTTAAAGGGTCCGTGGCGCTGCCCCAACGCTGGGACTGGCCTGCGGCTGTCGACTTGGCACCGCCAGCGCGCGGTCCAGGAGCGGGGGCGGGGCGCGAGCAATCCCCAGGTCGTGGCGAGAGCGGCCGCGGTGCGCGCCCCGCCTGGCCCGGCGTTTTTTGAGGCTCACCGGGTTACGTTTCAATGAAGGGTTCCCGGGGTTGCGCAGGAGGAGGAGAAGGAGGAGGAGGAGGAGGAGGCGGAAGTGGAGGAGGAGCAGGAAGAGAAGGAGGAGGAGGAGGAGGAGGAGGCCACCGTCCGCGGTGGAGAATCTGGCGATTGCCGCGATTGGCGGGGAGTCGATAGGGGTGGCCCTCTAAAGTGGCGCCCCGCCTGCCGCCGCCTCCCCGCTTAAGCTGCCCCTCTCTGCTGAAGTTGCTCCCTCCGTCGCGCGGCGAGGACGGTCCCTGGTGGGCCCGGGGCACGCCCACCAAAGACATCCTGCCGTGGACGAGCCCCAGGGGATTAGAGGGCCCTGCGAGTTCCCGGGGCCCAGGAGATTAAACCCTCCTCGTCCACTGCGCGGAGGGTCTCTGGTAGAGTTTTCGGCCCTGATTCTCTGCCAGAGACTCTCGGGGATCCCCGCGACCCTTCGCCAGTGCAGTCCGCGAATCCATGCTCGCCGCTGCTATCCTTCCTATCCGTCCTTCCCCGCAGCGCGGCGGCTGCGCGCCCCTCGCGAGGCTCGCGAACTAGCGGAGGCCAAGCATGCAGCTTTCGGCTTCCATCCCGAGTGGTAGGTGCTGCCAGGGGGGGCGCTGCCGGGGGTTGCCCCGAGTCGCGCGCCGCGCTTTGTTTTTGCGTTGCGCCGCGCGGCAGTTTACCCGTCGCGGGGGAGGGGTTCCGGGGTTGCCCCGAGTCGCGCCCCCGCGCTTTGTTTTTGCATTGCGCCGCGCGGCAATTTACCCGTCGCGGGGGAGGGCTTCCGGGGTTGCCCCGAGTTTTTTTTTTTTTTTTTTTTTTTTTTTTTTTTTTTTTTTTTTTTTTTTTTTCCAATCCTCCCATGCCCTCCCGCCAATAAACTTGCGCGGCGCATTTACTTGCATGTGTTTGATTCGTCCGTCTACATGGCTTTTACTTGCGTTCATTTGTTCTGGTCGCAGGATCTGTCTCTCTGACTTCGTCGCTGAGATGGCGCGCCTGCTCTCGCCATCGCGGCCTCCTCTTCTTACTCCTCCTCCTCCTCGTCGTCCTCCTCCTCCTCTCTGCCGCCGTCGTCGTCGCTGCTACTACTCGCCGCCGCCGCCAACGGCGTCGGCGCATTCATCATCGCCGGGGCCGGCTGTTTCGAGGTCCCGGGGCCGCGCAACGGTCCCCGAAACCGAGGAGTTCCGAAAACGCATCCGGCAGATTATCCCCCAGAGATTTCCGACTCGTCGGGGCAGAGATCGCCGTCGTCGTCGTCAATGGGGCCGCTCCTCTCTACCCCGACCCCCCCGTTCTACCCCGAACCCCCCGCCGTCGGCGTCGTGGTCGTCGCCGCCGTCGTCGTCGTCGTTGGCGGCGGCGTCGGCGGCGACGCTCGCACCTCAACGGGGGCGCCCGCCCTTGTCCCGAGCTCCCCGTCGTCGCCGCTGCCGCCGCTGTTGGGGGGCTCTCTTTTCTCCAAGCCCCTCGTCGTCGTCGTCGTCGTCGTCCGCGGCGGGCGCGGCGACAGCATCCATGGCCATAGAGGTGCCACCGTTGCCGCCGTGCCTGGGCGGCCTTCCTCGGCCAAAGGGATGGCCTCGGGAGCCAACGGCAGGGCCCTTGCTGCCACCCGCCGCGGGCTTGGAGGGCTCCCCCAGCAGCGAACTGGCCGCGTTGCGAGCGGAACTCCGGGCCGAGCGCGCCGAGCTCCGCGGGGAGCTGGCCGCCCTGCGCGGTGAGCTGGCCGCTTTGCGCGGGGAGCTCCAAGCCAAGCGCGCCACCCGGCCCCGAGGCGCCGGCGATAGCACCGCTAGGCCTGCCCGGCTGGACTCCGGGGTCGCGCCCAAGGACCCAGTAGAATTCATAGCGACGCTCCGGCGGGCCCACGCGGGGCGGCGGGCGGATCCGCAGGGCCAGTCGTGGCCTTGGACGGACGACGACGTCATTAACCGCCAGTACAGCCTGGACGAGCGACGCGCCGAGCACGCCGTCACGCAGGAGCTTCTGCAGGCCGCCCAGGGGATGGACACGAAGGACAAGGTCGCGCACAGCATCGCTGTGCGGTACAGGCAGTCCGCGCGGGGGGCTGCCGCGCGGTTCGCGGCCGCCATCCAGGGCGGATCTCTGGAGCGGGACGTCTTGGCACCGCTGACGCGGGAGTGCAAGGGTGACCTACCGCCGTACCGGAACGTCGTGCCGAAGGCGCAGCTCGCGGAGCAGCTTTGGCCCGCCGCTGCCGCTATTGCTGGGCGCGTCCCCTTTGACACGGTCTTGCAGGCGCGGGGCTTCATCAAGCAACATCTCGTCGCCGACGTCTCGCTCGACGGCACCCGCGTCTCCCCGTTCAGTGCCGGCGAGGCACGTTGCCCTGTCCACCGCTTCGATCGCCCTCTCGAGGTTCAGAGTTTTGTGGGGGCAGAGGGGGGGGGGGGGGCCTTCGTCGACGCCGCAGCCGGGCGCAGCATGAAACATTGGCGCGTTGGGGCGGCCCCGGGGCGCATTTTTTCAGGTTGTTGTTGCCAAAAGCGCCCTCCGCTCCCCTGCAAGGTTGCGAAGGACCTCGTCCACTTCGGACTTGTGCTTGACGGGAGCACCGCGCCCATGGAGACCGGGGCCCGGAAAGGCTTGGCGGCCGCCAAGAAGTTATTCCCGGATGAGCCGTGGTCTTTGTCGTCGCTGGCGGAGCGGGTGGGCTGCGACGAGTTCGGCGCGGAGATTCTCTGGTGCGAGTACGGGAAGCACGTCCGCGCCTGCGCCAACGGCGTCACCAGGGAATACGTCCCAAGGTATCGCAGGCAGCGCCGGTCGGGCCGCCCAAAAACAGGCCCCTCGGAGGCGCCAGCGCCGCGGCCGTCGGAAGCCTGCCTGCCGCCCGACGGGCGCGACGGGGACTTCGTCGAGGCGGGGGGCGATTCGCCCGGCAAGGAGTGTCAATTGTCGCAGGCCGGGGTGCCCGCGCCAAGAGCCCCGCAGGCGCGCCCGATGGCGGCTCCCGATGGCGCTGCGTTGTCGAGATCGGCGGATCCGCCGCCCGCGGTCCGGGGGGGAGGCGGTGCCGGGGATGCCCCGAGCCCACTTCCCCCCCAGTCGCTGACGGCCCGCCCGCGGGGCCGCCAGCGGGGCCAATGACGCAGCATATATTCGAAGATGCGCAGTATTTGGAGACGGCAGTACGGAGCACTTCGGGCAAGGAGTTGGTCTCCGTCCTGGGCGCCGGAATTGTCGCAGAATTGCTCAACCGGCTCCGGGCGCAGGGCCAGCTGCAGGGCCCCGACCAGGCAGGGCCAGCTGACGAAAGGCCAGCTGTCGCAGGGCCAAGCGGCGGCGCCGAACAGGTCATGAAGCGGCGCCGCGTGGTGCCGACGCTCCTTTCAGCGGCGGCGCCGCCAAAGTGCCTCCCCGCAGCGCAGCCGACGCCCCTCGCGGCGGCGCCGGCACCCGGCGTAGTGGCGGCGCGCCAGGCGGCGCGGCCAGGCGAAGCGGCGGAAGGGGCGGGGCGCCGCCTGTCGCAGCGGCCGCGGCTGGCGGAACCGCCCGCCGGCCTCGACGACGCCAGGGCAGCCGCCGCTCAGGGGCGAGCAGCCGCCGCTCAGGGGCGGAGCCAGGGCGGCGTCAGCGTCCAGGTGCTGCGCGTGCTGGCGAAGGGCCAGGGCATCCCGCACTACGGCTGCAAGGCCGATTTGCTGGCCCGATTGCGTGCTGCGGGGATTGCAGTCCCAGGGGTCGACTGACGACGCGGCCGTCAACCAGGGAGGCTGTCGTCATCGCCATCGTCATCGCCATCGCCATCGCCATCGCCAACGCCTCCCTCTGACGACGGCGGCCGCGGCGGCTGGGGCGGCGGACGCAGGAGGAACGGGGAGGGTGAGGAAGGGAGGAGGAACGGGATTTCTTGCCCCCGGAAAGTGTTTTGAAGAACCCGGGGGCCACCTGGCGTCAAAGCCCAAAACACGTTTCGTCATCGTGATCATCGCCATTCGTTTGGTCATCATGATCATCGCCATTTCGCCATCATGATCATCGCCACCGATGGCCTCCAAGATGGCTCCAAGAGCGCCCAAGAGAGCCCCATGAGCGCCTCAAAAGAGCCAGCTTCGCGAATCCCCACCCGCCCATCCTAAAACAGCCACTCTAGCGAAGTACAGAAAGCAAGGCGGCAACACGCAAACCACAACATGCATCCGGAACGACTGCGACAACACGCACGCGAGTAAACCCATGTTACACCCATTGTAAGACAATGCACAAAACGCGTCACTTACTCCAGATCCGTAAGACTTTTGGTCTCAAGCCGTTCGAGCGTCTGCCAGCGACGCAGTGGGCCCAGCGCCCGATGGCTAGCCAGAATGAAACCTTGCCCGAGCAATGCGATTCTACGGCAGGCGGCCTCGTCCTCCCGACGTTCAACCACGAGGACGCCATGGGCACCCAGATGAAGGAGAAGATCGAGAACGTCGGCCCCGTCGACATCGTCGATGATGACCCGCCAGTACCTCAGGCAGCAGCGGCGCAGGCACCTACGCCGTCGACGAGCAGGACGTCGTCAGCATCGGCTCCGCCAGTGTCGGCATTGCCCCGTGAGATCGGCACGCAGCAGCCGCATAAGGTCGGCCAGCAGGCGCCAGAAGTCCTCCAGGAGCCGCCGCCCGAGGTCGGCCAGAAGCCAGCGGGCGGCCAGAAGCGCAGCGCCGACAGCCAGGAGGAGCGCAAGAAGAAAAAGACGAAGCTGGTCGAGGAAGAAGCGGTGGGCAGCCCCGGTGCGCGCAGCATGTCGTTGAAGTTTTCGCACACGTACCAGAGCTTGTCGGATATGCCGCCCGCGGTGGGGATGGTGTTCAGACAGATCTTGGAGGCTCCTGAGAATTACCAGACGCCGACAGACACCAGGGAGACTTTCACAGTCACGTACAAGGCGGAGCGCTACGACTGTTCCAGCTCATAGCGGCTGGAAAACAAACCAACGTTTTAGTTGTACAATCGTTTTATTGTTGCCAGTTGGTCGAGGGACGATGCGGATCAGTATTTTTTCACATGCATCGAGTCTGCTGTCGGCATTGTTTGGTGCGCCGCAAAGGTACGAGTGCGGCCGGGCAAATTAAGGAAACCGCCCCTCCACGATCCCATGGCCCCAAATTGGTCCCCAGCGAAGTCCTCAAGCCACTGGCGCAACCAAGATTGCCAGGCGGCGGCCAAGCGCGCAGCCTGTGGCGCAACCAATGGGAGATCATCCAAGGCACGAAAAAACATGTGGCGCAGCCGACCCTCAAGGCGCAACTCATGGCATAGCCTATGGCGTAACCTATGGCATAACCTATAGCACAACCTGCGATACAACCTATAGCCCAATAGCGCTACATCCCTATAGCCTTAAAGCCTTTGAGCCCTATAGCCCTAAGCCGGGATAGGGGACGGCGCAGCCTCTGCATAGATGCGGCACAGGGAAAAGGATGACGAGAACAAGGGATAGGAGATGTTGCGGCTCTGCAGGAAAGCCCTAACGTATTTTCGAAGTGTCACGGCGGGGCCGCGGCCGCCTGGGGCCCCTTGGACCCTGAAGACACCGAAATTATGGGAGGCCCTAGGCCCGTTTGATCTCGCACATGTCCGCGCAACCCTCGCACAGATCGCGGGGTCTGGCGGAGGGGGCGGAAGCCCCAACGTCGCGGCTGGCGCGTGCCCCGCACGGGAGCTGTTATACGCCCCCCGTGAAGCCCCGGGAGAAGGGGCGCCATGCGCCCTCCGGCGCGCGGGAGGAGGGCGGTGAGGAGAAGGGGGAGAGGGCGGGAGGGAGGCCGCGCTCAGGGGGCCGCGCTTCGGACGCCCTCCGATCATGTATCGACCGCGTATTGGAGCCGCATTGCGCGGGCTCCAGAAAGCCCCCGCATGGGAGTTGTATTGGCGAAGGTGTTAGAAAGCACCCGCATGGGAGTTGTATTGGCGAAGGTGTTAGAATTGCCCCGAAAGGTGTTGAACTGGCCCTGGGAGGTATTCGGGACACCGCGCGAGGTGTTGTACAGCCCGGGGAGGTGTTATACGGCACCTGGAAGTGTTTTACGGCCCCCGGGGAGATGTTGTACGCTTCCCGGGGAGGTGTTGTACGCTTCCGGGGCAGGGCCCGTTGGGGGGCTCCCCGAGAGCTCGATCCGCGGCGGATGGTCTCCCGTGGGGAATCGGAGCCAGATTCTCCACGGGAGATCACCCGCTGCGGACAGGGTCCGTCGGGGGGCCTTCGAGAGCTCCGTCCGCGGCGGATGGTCTCCCGTGGGGAATCTGGGCCAGATTCTCCATGGGAGAGCCTCCGCCGCGGACAGGGTCCGTTCGGGCCCGTGAGCGCCTCCCCCGGAGGTTTCGTTTGCCATGGGCAACATATAAATTTACGCATAGGGAACGCAGAGGGGCAGTACATTCGACAATCGGAGATCTTGACGCGGCAGGTTATGATTTCGTTCCCGTCGGACATTCTGCAACGGCCCAGACTGAGCCCACTGGCCACGCGCCTGTCTCTGTTCCGTCGTTGTCGCCGCGCATGGCTGCGGATTGGGCTGCCGAGGTGGCGGCTCTGCGCCAGCGCGTCTCCGCGTTGGAGGCGGAACTCGTCTTCGTGCCCGTAACGGTGCTTGCCGACAACGCGCCCCCGATGCATTTCGAACTCAGGTCGGGAGCTCCCTTTTCCAAAGTGATGAGACGCTGGTGCGTGGAGCACGGCGCTCCCGAAGCGGAGGTTCAGTTTCAGCGTCATGGAGCTGTGTTGCGCGCGGCGGACACTCCCAAACATCTTCCGCCAGGGGCGGTCCGCGACGGCGCCGTGACCGTTTACGTCACGGAGGCGGGCGCCGCCGTCCCTCCCGCGACGCAGCCATCGCCCGGGGCGACAGCGGTTGGTGACCGCGGGCACGCTCTTCCGCCGAGACAAAATTCTTGGCGCAAGGCGGAACGGTATCAGAGAGGCAGGTGGAACACTCGCCGCCGCGTGTCGCGCCGCTGCAGGACATCAGGCTTGGCCTGCCTGAGCATCCGTCTCCAACGCAGCCCCTGCCGGCCCAATTGCCACAGACAGGCTCTGGCCTGTTCGGCTGTGCTGCTGCTGCCTCCAGAAGGGCGTCAGACGAGGACGCAGCAACCAGGGCTTACCCGCTCCGACTCAGCGAGTGGAACGAGGACGAGGTCGGCCTGCCCCGCAATCTCATCATCAAGCCGCGCGGCCACCAAGCCTTCGGCCAGCCCTTCGGCCAGCAGCGCCCAGCGGAGCCGCCGGCCATGTCAGTGGGCGCGGAGGATTCCGACGAGGAGGAGCTCCTGTCGGCGCCTCCTTCGTCGTGTCCGTCCCCGCGGGCGGCTCGCATGATGATGCAAGATTGGGTGGGCGCGGACCTGCGATGCGAGGAGGCGGCGCGACCTGCGCCTCGGCTTATTGCCGCGCCGCAAGGAGTAGTGCTCTGGCCTGACCAAGTCGCCGGCTGCTGCTCGACGGGCCCGGCGGCGCCAGAGCATGCAGTTCCTGCGCGGGTGTCGCTGGGGTCGCCGGGGGGCCCCGAGTGGAAGCGGCGCCGGATGGCGCGGGCGGGCGCGCCGCACCCCTGCCTGTTGGCAATGTTCCCCATGCAGGACTGGTCGGGATTAGGGCGGCAGCAAGGCGGGGCGGGCGCAGTCAGGGGGGCCAGGAGTTTTCGTTGAGGGGGTTTCGGTAGAACTGTCGCGGTCCTTGCGTCGAGATCGAAGCGCCGCGGTTTCGGCGTTTGCGGTTTCGATCCCCCAAAACATCGGGGGGTGTTCGGAAAGAGCCACGGCCACGGCGTTCTCTGCCGCTGCCGCTGCAAGTCAAAAATATATTCGACCGCCTCTTCAGGAAGCGCCGGGGTGCCCAGCGGCGTGGTTAGATGTCGGCGCCGCAGGCGGCAGTGGCAATGGCGCCGCCGGCTCGCTGGCGGTCTCGGCATCGTCGGTGGCAGCGCCGCGTGGGGGTGCGGCGACGTCGGGCGCGGAGACATCGCGCGGCGCTTTGGAGGCTGTGCCGCCAGTGGCCGCGACAGCGGCGGCGCCGGCGGCAGAGGCGGGGGCGTCGCGCGGAGCAACGGCGGCAGCTCCGCTGGGGGCCATCCCAGCGCAGCGCGCTCCGCGGCGGTTGCGCCAGGTGAAGTGGGGCCGCTGCACCTTATGTGGATTCGCGCGTCGGCTGGTTGTTCCACAGCAGAGCCTCTACCGCGGGGAGCCCATGCTCGGTTGCTCGCGGTGGCCCGCTTGCAATGGCGGCCTGGAGCGCGTCCCTCCGCATCTACAGGGGCAGCTGCCGCGCAGGGTCATGTTCAGGATGCGCGTTGATTCGTAGCTCTCGCGCCCTGCCAGCGGCGGTGCCGCGGTGCCACTGTGCACTCGCGCTCAATTAGCTCATGGTCAGCGTAAATCGGCGTCGCACAAGGGGCGCGTATTGCGTTGCTCTCTCGCTCTCAGTCTCTCTCTCTCTCTCTCTCTGTCTCTCTCCCTCTCTCTCTCTGTCTCTCTCTTTCTCTGTGCATCGTCCGAGGGAGGCGGGGCGCTTCCGGGGTTGCCCCGAGTTACGCCCTGGCCCTCTTATATCCTTTCACTTGCACATGTTGCACTGGCGCGTGATTTTGCGCGTGCCGCATTCATATGTATTCTCACCCAGGGCATTTATTTGCATATATATGCCCTGCCG